CTCCCCTCTAAAACCCTCAGTTTGTTTCTCAGAGTCCATAGTCTCTCATGGTTCGTCTCCCCCTCCGATTTCCACCCCCTTCCTTTTTCCCTTCCTTACTCCTAATGTCCTCCATGCTATTCCTTATGGTCCACAAAATAAGTGAAACCATATGATAATTGTCTTTCTCTGCTTGACTTGTCTCACTGAGCATAATCTCCTCCAGTCCCATCCACGTGGATGTAAAAGTTGGGTATTCCTCCTTTCTGATGGCTGAGTAATATTCCATTTGTAGATATGGACCGCATCTTCTTGATCCATTCATCTGTGGAAGGGCATCTCGGCTCTTTCCACGGTTTGGCTATTGCGGACATTGCTGCTATGAACGTTGGGGTGCGTGTGGCCCTTCTTTTCGCTACATCTGTGTCTTTGTGGTAAACACCCAGGAGTGCAATTGCTGGGTCATAGGGTAGCTCTATTTTTAATTTTTTGAGGCACCTCCACACTGTTTTCCAACGTGGCTGTACCAACTTGCATTCCCGCCACCGGTGTGAGAGGGTTCCCCTTTCTCCACAACCTCTCCGACATTTGTTGTTTCTTGCCCCGTCAATTTTTGCCATTCTAACTGGTCTAAGGTGGTATCTCAATGTGGGTTGTTTTTTTTTTGTTTTGTTTTGTTTTTTTGATTTGAATTTCCCTGATGGCCAATGATGAGGAACACTTTTTCATGTGTCTGTTAGCTATTTGCGTGTCTTCTTTGGAGAAGTGTCTTTTCATATCCTCTGCCCGCTTTTTGACTTGATTATTTGTTTTTTGGGTGTTGAGTTTGAGAAGTTCTTTATGGATCTTGGAAATCGGCGCCCTGTCTGTAGTGTCCTTTGCAAATATCTTCTCCCCTTCCGTGGGTTGCCTCTTTGTTTTGTTGACTGTTTCCTTTGCTGTGCAGAAGATTTTTATCTTGATGAAGTCCCCAGAGTTCATTTTTGCTTTTGTTTCCCTTGCCTTTGGAGACATGTCTTCAAAGAAGTTGCTGTGGCCGATGTCGAAGAGGTTACTGCCTATGTTCTCTTCTAGGATTTTGATGGATTCCTGTCTCACATTGAGGTCTTTCACCCATTTTGAGTTTATCATTGTGTATGGTGTAAGAGAATGGTCGAGTTTCATTCTTCTGCCTGTGGCTGTCCAATTCTCCTAGCACCGTTTATTGAAGAAACTGTCTTTTTTCCGTTGCGTGTTTTTTCCCGCTTCATCGAAGATTATTTGACCATAGAGTGGAGGGTCCATATCTGGGCTCTCTCTTCTGTTCCACTGATCGATGTGTCTGTTTTTGTGCCAGTCCCATGCGGTCTTGGTGATCACAGCTTTGTAATACAGCTTGAAATCGGGCAACGTGATGCCCCCAGCTTTGTTTTTCCTTTGCAACGTTTCCTTGGTGATTCAGGGTCTCTTCTGACTCCATACAAATTTTAGGGTTGTTTGTACCCGCACTTTGAAAAATGCCGTTGGTATTTTGATTGGGATGACGTTGAAACTATAGATTGCTCTGGGCAGCATAGACATTTCAACAGTGTTTATTCTTCCGATCCATGAGCATGGAATGTTTTTCCATCTTTTTGTGTCTTCTTCAATTCCTTTCATGAGGGTTCTACAGTTCCTAGAGTATAGATCCTTTACCTCTTTGGTTAGGTCTATTCCGAGGTATCTTATGGTTTTTGGTGCTATTGTAAATGGAACTGATTCTCTAATTTATTTCTACACTTACATTGTAAGTGTATAAGAAAGCAACTGATTTCTGCGCATTGATTTTTGTATCCCGCCACATTACCGAACTGAATTGCTGTATGAGTTCTAGTAAATCGGGGGTGGAGTCTTTTGGGTTTTCCACATAAAGTATCATGTCATCTGCGAAGAGAGAGAGTTTGACTTCTTCTTTGCCAATTTGAATACCTTCCATTTCTTGTTGTTGTCTGATTGCTGTTGCTAAGGACTTCTAGTACTATGTTGAACAGTAGTGGCGAGAGTGGGCATCCTTGACGTGTTCCTGATCTTAAGGGAAAGGCTCTCAGCTTTTCCCCATTGACGGTGATATTCGCTGTGGGTCTTTCATAGATGGATTTTATGAACTTGAGGAATGTTCCCTCTGTCCCTATGCTCTGAAGAGTTTTAATCAGGAAAGGATGCTATATTTTGTCAAATGTTTTTTCTGCATCAGTTGAGAGGACTATATGGTTCTTCTCTCTCCTCTTAGTAATGTGTTCTAGCACACTGATTGATTAGCGAATGTTGGACCACCCTTGCATCCCGGGGGTAATTCCCTCTTGGTCATGGTGGATGATCCTTTGAATGTACTGTTGGATCATACTGGCTATGATTTTTTGGAGAATTTTGGCATCCATATTCATCAGGGCTATTGGTCTGAGATTCTCTTTTTCGATGGGGTCTTTGCCTGGTTTGGAGATCAAGGTAGTGCTGGCCTCATAGAGTGAGTCTGCAAGCTTTCCTTCTGTTTCTATTTTTTGAAACAGTTTCAGGAGAGTAGGTATTATTTCTTCTTGGAATATTTGGTAGAATTCCCCCGGGGAGTCCATCAGGCCCTGGAGTCTTGTCTTTTTGGGGAGGTTTTTGACCACTGCTTCAGTCTCGCTACTGGTTATTGGCCTATTCCGGTGGTCAGTTTCTTCCTGGTTCAGTCTTGGGAGTTTATAGGTTTCCAGAAGACATCCATTTCTTCCAGGTTGCTTAATTTATTGGCATATAGTTGTTGATAATAATTTCTAATGACTTTTTCTCTTTCCTTGGTGTTAGTCATGATCTCTCCCCTTTCATGCGTGATTTTATTAATTTGGGTCCTTTCTCCTCTTTTGGATAAGTCTGGCCAGTGGTTTATTGGTCTTATTAATTCTTTCAAAGAACCAGCTTCTAGTTTCGTTGATCTGATCTACTGTGTTTCTGGCTTCTAATTCATTGATCTCTGCTCTAATCTTAATTATTTCTCTTCTAATGCGTGGCTTAGACATCATTTGTTGTTTTTTCTCTAGTTCTTTAAGGTATAAAGTTAGTTGGTGAATTCAGGATTTTTCTATCTTTTTGGGTGAGGCTTGGATGGCTATGTATTTCCCCCTTAGGGCCGCCTTTGCAGTATCCCATAGGTTTTGGACCGATGTGTCTTCGTTCTCATTGGTTTCCGTGAATTGTTTAAGTTCTTTTTTGATTTCCTGGTTGACCCAAACATTCCTGAGCAGAGTGGTCTTTAGCTTCCAAGTGTTTGAATTGCTTCCAAATTTGTTCTTGCGACCGAGTTCCAGTTTTAAGGCATTATGGTCTGAGAATATGCAGGGAATAATCTCAGTCTTTTGGTATCGGTTGAGACCTGATTCGTGACCCAGCATGTGGTCTGTTCCGGAGAAAATTGCATGCGTGTTCGAGCAGAATGAGTATTCTGTTGTTTTAGGGTCGAATGTTCTGTATATATCTATGAGGTCCATCTGGTCCAGTGTGTCATTCAAAGCTCTTGTTTCTTTGTTGATTTTCTGCTCAGATGATCTGTCTGTTGCTGAGAGTGGAGTGTTGAGGTCCCCTACAATTAACGTATTATTATCAATATGTCTCTTTATTTTGGTTGACAGTTGGTTTATGTAGTTGGCTGCTCCCATGTTGGGGGCATAGATACTTACAATTGTTAGATCTCTTCTTGTCGGATAGATCCTTTAAGAATGATACAGTGTCCTTCTGTGTCTCTAACTACAGTCTTTAGCTTAAAATCTAATTTGTTTGATGTAAGCATTGCTACCCCAGCTTTCTTTTGAGGTCCGTTGGCATGCAAGATGGTTCTCCATCCCTTCACTTTCAGTCTGGATATATCTTTCGGTTCCAAATGAGTCTCCTGTAGACAGCATATGGATGGGTCCTGTCTTTTTATCCAGTCTGCAACCCTGTACCGTTTTATAGGAGCATTTAGGCCATTCGTGTTGAGAGCGATTATTGAAGGATACGATTTTATTGTCATCATGTTGCCTGTGAAGTCCTTGTTTCTATAGATTGTCTCTGTAAATTTCTGTTCTATATCACTCTTGGGGGTCTTTCTCCTTTTAAAGAACCCCACGTAATATGTCTTGCAGGGCTGGCTTAGTGGTCACATATTCTTTCAGTTTCTGCTGGTCTTGGAAGCTCTGCATCTCTCCGTCCATTCTAAATGACAGCCGTGCCAGATAAAGAATTCCTGGCTGCATCTCTCCATCCATTCTAAATGACAGCCTTGCCAGATAAAGTATTCTTGGCCGCATGTTCTTCTCATTTAGTACCCTGAATATGTCTTGCCAGACCTTTCTGGCTTGCCAGGTCTCTGTGGATAGGTCTGACCTTATTCTGATGTTCCTCCCTCTGTACGTAAGGAATCTCTTGCCCCTAACTGCCCTTAAGATGGTTTCCTTGGTTCTAAGATCTGTGGGTTTTACTCTTACATGCCGGGGCATTGGTCCGTTCTTGATTTTGGGAAGGGTCCTCTCTGCCTCTAGGACACAAATGCTTGTTTCATTCCCCAGATTAGGGAAGTTCTCAGATATGATTTGCTCAAATATATCTTCTAGTCCTCTCTCTCTCTCTCTCTCTCTCCGTCTCTCTCTCTCTCTCTCTCTCTCTCTCTCTCTCTCTCTCTCTCTCTCCCTCCCTCCCTCCACCCCCTCAGGGATCCCAATAATTCTGACATTGGAACATTTCACAGCATCACTTATTTCTCTAATTCTGTGTTCATGGATTTTAAGCTGTTTGCTCCAGGCCTCCTCCTGTTCCTTCTGTTCTATCAGTTTGTCTTCTAGATCACTAATTCATTCTTCTGCCTCATTTACCCTGGCTGTTCAGAGTATCTAGATTAGATTGGATCTCACTGATCGCATTTTTAAGTTCTGCCGGATCAGCTCTCATTTCTGCCTTTAGAGACTCTATGTTCAGCACCAGAGTATTA